TCTTTCAGGGTTGGTTTCCCAAGACCCACACGAAGGTTCACTTTTAACTCCAGTTCCAGGGGAGATGACGCCCTCTTTTGGCCGCTGCCGACACTGCACACACGGTGGGCAGACAAACAAGCCTGCAAAACCACAGACATAAAATGATAAAAATGCTTTGCAAAAAACCTCCCTAAAAGCCGGATGTGGCGGCACACGCCTTTAATCCCAGCACTCCGCAGGAAGAGGCAGGTGGATCTCTGAGTTCGAGGCCAGCCTGGTCTACAGAGTGAGTCCAGGACAGCCAGGGCTACACAGAGAAACCCTGTCTCGAAAAACAAACAAAAACTACAGAAAAGCACTGTGTGTATTTTCTGTGCATGTGGCCAGGAGAGGGACGGATCCTCGGGAGCTGGAGTTACAGGCAGTGTTGAGCTGCTTGTGTAGGTGCTGGGAACCAGACTCGGGCCCCCTACACGAGCAGTTCTTGCTCTCGGCCCGGGAACACCCCTCCAAGCATTCCCAGCTTCTGTGCTTACCGACGGGCTCTCACTGTTACGCTGCCTAAGCTGGCCTTGAATTATGATCCTTCTACCTCAGTGCTTTCCACATTTACGTATTTTTAATTCGTGCACGTGTGTGTGCACAATCAAACTTGTGAAGGCCAAGTTCTGTGTGTGTGTGTTTGTGTGCCGGAGAGCACGAGGAGATCAAGAACAACTGGCATTCGGCCGGTGCTGCCTTCCAGCTTTGGGGAATGCAGCCGTGTGATGTAATATTCCCTTCCATCAGGGCCCTCGGGGATCTGAGGTCAGGGCTTCACACTTCTGTGGCACGCCCTTTACTGACTGAGCCATCTCCTCCAATTATTGCTATTTAGTTATTTGTTTGGTTGGTTGAGGCAGGGTTTCTCTGAGTAGCCTTGGCTGTTCTGGACTCATTTTGCAGACCAGGCTGGCCTTGAACTCACAGAGATCCGCCTGCCTCTGCCTCCCTGAGTGCTGGGATTACAGGCGTGAGCCACCGGTCCTGGCTTTAATTTTTTTTAAATATTTTTTATTTATTTAACTTTCATGTGCATTAAGTGTGAAGGTGTCAGATCCCTTGGAATTACAGACAACTGTGAGCTGCCATGTGGGTACTCTTCCTCTGGAAGAGCAGGCAGTGCTCTTAACCATTGAGCCATCTCTCCAGCCCCTAATTTTTATTTTTAAAAGACGGTGTCTCTGTGTAGTTCTGGCTGTCCTGGAACTCACTCTGTAGACAAGGCTGGCTTCCAACTTGGAGATTCACTTCCCTCTGCCTCCTGAGTGCTGGGGTTAAAGTGTGCACCATCATGCCGGGCATCCAGGCTTCTATTTGTAATTTTAATATTTGAGACAGGGTCTCATGTAGCCCATGATGGCCTTGAGCTTATTATGTAGCCAAAGTTGGTCTTGAAGTCCAGAGTCTCCTGGCTGGGACTATGTGACAGCTTCCAGAGTTTGCTGAATGAAGGAGTGTGGTTTCTAACTGCAGCAGCACCCCCTGCTGGCAAGTGCAGAGCATAGCACTTACAAGGCCAATCAAAGCTCTGGTACAGCTCAGCCTGTGGGCAGCTCTGCAGGTAACTGAAGTAACTCTCCCACAGTGATTTTCTGTGTGTGTGTGACTGAGGACTGAAATTATGGCATTCACTTTTCTTTGACATAGGGTTTTCCTGTGTAGCCCTGGCTGTCCTAGGACTCCGTCTACAGACCAGGCTGGCCTGGAACTCACAGATCCAGCTGCCTCTGCCTCCCTGAGTGCTGGGATTACAGGCATGTTGCTATCGTGTCCAGCTCCTTTACCTTTTTATTTTTCTAGACAGGGTCTCACTGTGTAGCCCTGGCTGGCCTAGAACTCTCTATGTAGATCAGGCTGGCCTTGAACTCACAGAAGTCTGCCTGCCTCTGCCTCCCAAGTGCTGGGATTATAGGTGTCTGCCACTATGCGATTTCTATGTGCTCTTTGAACAGATCATTTACTGCAAAACGTGTGTGACTAATAAAAACACTGCATATTTCAGATTGTTGACAGAGAAAAATGTGGATATCCCAGACACAAAGAAATGGCAAGTGTATCTGGGTGATGGTGGCAGTGCATGCCCTCAGTTCCAGCATTCTGGAGCTAGGGGCAGGCAGATCTCTAAATTCAAGGCCACCATGGTTTACAGAGTGGGTTCCAGGACACTCAGGGGTGCACAGAAAAAAACCTGTCTCAAACAAAACAAAAAGGAGCTATAAGTGTTTCAGGTGACAAAGACTGTGTCAGCTACTCTGATCTGATCATTGAACATTGTTTATATGTGTCAAAATATTACACTATGCCACAACTGTGCACAATTATGTGTCAACTAAAAAAAAAAATCCTTAGGCTGGACAGGGTAGCCCCTCCCCAGCACTCCGAGGGCAGAGGTAGGTGACGCTCTATGGATTGGTAGACAGCCTGGCCTACAACAGAGTTCCAGATCAGCCAGGGCTGTCCTGCAAGGCTCTAACTCAGAAACAAACAACAACAACAAAACAGCAAACAGGCAAAAAACAAACCCCAAAACAAAACAAGCAGGCAAGATGGCTCTATAGGCACAGGAGCCTGCTGCCAAACCTTGATACCTGAGTTTGCTCCCTAAACTCCATGTGGGAATCTAATCCTTAGACCCGGATGTCTACAGGATCCTCTGGCCTCCACGCCTGCGCCATGGCATGCATGCTCCTTTCCCAAATTACAACAATGAAAAAAATTGGGATGGGCAGGGTAGTTTACTTCTGGGATTCCAGCATACAGGAGGCGGGGACAGGAACATCACCTGGAGTTTGAAGATAGCTTAGATACATGGAAAGCGCCTAATCTCAAACACAACAACAAAAGGAAAAAAAAGGTGTAGATTAGCTTAGTGGTTAGGAGTGGTTAACTGCTCTGCAGAGAGACCAGGTTCAGCCCCGGCACCCACGCGGTGGCTCACAGCTGCACTTTTGTCTCCGAAGGAACCAGGCACTCATGTGGTCCACAGAAATACATGCACGCAAACACCCATACACATAAAATATACTTTTTTTTAAAAAATACTTTATTTGGGGTTACAGTTTCTCTGTGTAGTCTTGGGTGTCCTGGAACTCACTCTGCAGCTTTAAGGTTTATTTTTTGAGATAGGGTCTTACTGTGAGGCGTTGGTTGGTTGTCCTGGAACTCATTACGAAAACCAGGAATTAGTCTGCATCAGCCTCCCGAGTGCTGGGACTAAAGGCATGCCCCACCACTGCCTGGGCCGGCATTATTTTTTTTTTTTTTCGATTTAAAACAACAAAATTGGTACTGAGGATGTACCTAAGTGGCAGAACCTGGGCCCAAGCCTGCTTTCATTACCAACACACACACACACACTACTGTTCTTTTGAATTTCAGTGAACTACTGTTGGCTTACTGAAATAACACTAATGTCCATGAGACAGACAAACTGTGGCCATCTCTCAGATGGGATATCTCACAGCAGTTTAAGATGGTCAGTTTGGTGGGCATAGCCACTGGTACTGAAGTGGCTAAGGCAGGAGAATCAGCAGTCCAATCTTAACAGAAATATTAAGGAAAAAACTATAGGAGAAAACAAGTAACAGGACAGGAGCCTACCACAGAAGGCACCTGAAAGACTCTACCTAGCAGTGTATCAAAGCAGATGCTGAGACTCATAGCCAAACCTTCGGCAGAGTATAGGGAATCATATGAAGGAAGGAGGAACTAGTATATCCTAGAGGGGACAGGGAGCCCCACAAGGTCCAAATATATCTGAGCACAGGGGTCTCCTACGAGACTGTTTATCCAACCAAGGACCATGCATGGATATAACCTACAACCCCTGCTCAGACATAGCCCATGGTAGCTCAGTATCCAAGTGGGTTCCCTAGTAAGGGGGACAGGAATTATTTCTGACATGAACTCATGAGCTTCCCCTCCGCTCTGAGGGAGGAGCAGAGCAGCCTTGCTAGGCCACAGATAAGGACATTGCAACCATCCTGAAGATACCTGATAAGCTGGGGCCAGACGGAAGGACAGCAGGACACAAACTCGGAAGGGGGCAGGGAGATGAGGGAGGGAGGGGAGGATTGGGAGGGAAAGAGGGAGAGGGCTAAGCTGGGATACAATTGAATGTATAAAATTATTTAAAAATAAAAAAAATATTAAAAAAAGAAAAGTAATGCTAACACACACACAAAGAAAAAAAAAAAAAGAAAAAACTAATAATAATTCAAGTGCCAGCAAGTTGCTCAACAGATACAGAAGCTTGTGCACCTGACAGTCCGGGGATCAAGCTGAGGCTGAGGTCATCAGAATTAGCAAAGTGCCTTCTTTACCCTCTCAGCCATCCTGCCCGGCTTTTTATTGTTTTACTTTTGAGGCAGGGTCCTGGCTGGGCTGGAACTGTAAATATATCATGCTGTTCTTGACCTTAAGGCAATCCTCCTGCCTCAGTCTCCTCTTAAATTAGAGGCATGTGCCAGAACCCCCAGTTTTCATTAAATAGCTGTTTTCTAACACACACACACACACACACACACACACTCTTTGTTTTTCAAGACGGGGTTTCTCTGTGTAGCCCTGGAAGTCCTGAACTCGCTTTGTAGACTAGGCTGGCCCCGAACTAGCGACCTGCCTGCCTCTGCTTCCCAGATGCTGGTATTAAAGGCCAGGCTTAAATGTATTTTTACGAATTAGTTTCTAAAGTTAAGGTTTCATTGGCAAGAAGAGGTGATGAAGCCTTCTAGTACGACGTCTGGCTTTTACTTACTAACATCGGGCACAAGTGGCGCGGGGTGGAAAACTGAGTAAGAGAGTCCCGAGACTGACGGCCACATCTCCACTTCCCGGGACCAGGCGGAAGAAACACGCTTCCGCCGCGTTCTGCGGAGCCTGAGGGGGCGCGGTCCCTTTAAGCCACCCGGAAATTGGCTGCCAGGACCGGAAGTAGCCCACTTTATTTCCTCTTTTCACGTGGTGCGGGACGGAAGTGACGAGAGAGGCCCGGGAGCTGCGGACGCGGAGGCGGACGGAGCCGGAGCCGCAGACGCCGCGGGGTCTCCGGGACAGGTGACCGGGGGAGGGGGCCGGGAGCGCGCCCGGGGAGGGCGGGGCCTGCCGGCTCACGTGAGGGGAGCGGGAGCGCGCGGGCGGGGAGGCGAGCCGTCGGCGGGGGCGGGGTCTGGGTACTCGGAGGGAGGCGGGGACGCGACGCCACATGGGTCACCGGAGGGGCGCTGTGGGGTGGGCTGGGAGCGTGTGGGCGGGTCCCGACTACGGCTGGCGGCGAGGCCGGGGCGGGGCTGGGGGCGGGGCCAGAGGCCTGCCTGGAGCGCCAAGGGGCAGGCCCGGGGCTGGGGGCGGAGACGCTGGGGGCGGCACCAAGCGTCGTGGGGCGGGGACACTGGGCGGAGTCAGGAGAAACTGACGGGGCGGGACTAGAGTATTGGGGGCGTAAGGGGTGGGGTTTGGGCGATGGGCGGGAGCGCCGGGGGTGTGTCCGAGGCGGCGTGGGGCGGGATGGAGGGCGGTGGGCGGAGTGGTCTGGGGGCGGGGCTAGAGTATTGTAAGGGCCCCTGAGGGTTAGGGGTCCAGGCTGTGGGGAGATCCACGGGGTGGCAGCCTTACGAGCTAAAGTTTTGAGGAGCGTGGGGAAGAGGGCAAGGTCTGGGCTTCGGGTGAACAGCTTGCGACTGAACTGTGGCGTTACGCCGAGTGTGGCCAACATGCTGGGGGCGGAGCCAGGATGTTGTCCTTAGTAGGGTGCGTGTTTTGGGCGTTGATGGCTGCGCTAGGGCGCGCTTAGAGTAGCGGGTGGGCCTGGACTTTGGGATGGAGACTCCCTGGGCGAGGAAGGAAAGTTTCTTGCTTCTGGAGGTGGGGTCCTGATCATTGCCTAGAAGCTAGGGGCAGGTCCAGAGGTCGGCTGGTACTGGATGGAGGTGGGCCTTACAGGTGTTGAGGGGTGTTGAGGGTGGGGCTAGGATGCTGCACGTGGAGAATGGCGGGGGTGGGACCAGAAAGTTTTTCCTGAGCCGGAAGTGCAGCCGAACTTGATCAGGAAAGCAGGAGGAGGGGCGAGGCTGAGAGGCGGGGTCAGAAGGTTTCCCGGCATGTGGGGGTGGGGGTCCTAGGGCGGGCTGGTTAAATTGAAGGCCGAGCCAGATTGTGTGATTTTTTTTTTTTTTTTTTTTTCCTGTGGGCGAGGCCAGGAGTCTGGCGGGAAAGGAGGGGCCTGAAGTTTCACCCTGGTCAGGGGCGGCTCCAGGGAAGTTTTTAGAGGTCAGGGGTGTGGTTGTGGCTAGCAGTTTTGTTTTTTAGCTACTGTAGCAGTCTGTCTTCCTAAGTATCATTATGAAGGTCAAGTTTAGCGCAGGGAGCCCCCTGGAGTGGATCTGGGGCCTGCTTGCGGAATCTTTTCCGGCTTGGTGGGAGATGATGAGTGCCTTTTCAGGGGGCTGGGCTGAATCAGTTTTAGGGGAGCCATGGAATGAAGTTCTTTGAGAGTTGGAGCTGTGTTTCATTATGTTTCATTTGTTTTCTGCATGTATGTGTATGACCACACGGAGGTGAGCGGACAGCTGGTGGGAGTGCTCTCCTACTTTGTGGATCGAACTCAGGTTCTCAGGCTTGGCAGCACCCCAGGATCCATCCCTTTGGCCCACTAGAAGTTACTCTTTTGCTGGTTGGAAGGAAGGGTCGTGCCTTCTGAGATCCAGGTCCTGGTTAAATTATCATAGGAAATGGAGCCTGGAGGAATTGGAGGAATTAGTATTAGGTACAGGAAAAGGGTCAGAATTTTCCCAAGGTGGTTCTAAATTGCTTCGGTGGGTCTAAAACTGAAGGGCAGAGTTTGTGTATTTTTTACAGAAAGAGGCGCAGCTAATATGTGAGAATTCTTGATGAAACACAAGTGTGTTTTTCTGTGAGTCTGTGTTTTCAGGACCCTCAGTAAAGGAGAGGAGCCAGCATTTCAAAGTGCTGTTGGTGTTAACATAGTGTTCTCTCTGCCCTCAGGAACCTCCAGTGCTACATTTGTTTTCTGGGAGGGAGATCACAGCCAGTGATGGTGAGCTAGAAAGTGGAGGAGTGGGGTGGGAGGGTGGGCTACAGAGACCAGACCCTCAGATCCTGGGCAAAATGCCCTTGTGGCAGGAAGAGTTTTTCCACCCTTTAACTGCTACCCCACTACAGGCCACCACACTAGATTTGAAATCAAAGGAGGACAAGGACGCTGAGTTGGACAAGAGGATCGAGGCTCTTCGTCGGAAGAATGAGGCCCTTATCCGGCGCTACCAGGTGCCCTAGCCCTGCCCTGGGAGACCCCACCCCCTCTCCTTCCCTCAGTGAGTTTTTCCCACCTCTCCCTTCAAGTTTTTCTCATGTTTCCTCTTCACTCACAGGATGAAAGCCAAAGGTCTTAGCCTGGCCTCGCTTCCTCCATCCCATCATTCATTCATTCATTTATTCATCCTCTGCTCACTGAAGTCTTCAGAGGCTGAGCTTCAGCTTGAGTGGTGCTGGGAACATACTCTCCAGACCTGTTGTTAGGGCACAGTCCAGTTTGGGACAGTTTCCCTCCTTGATGACACAGACTAGACAGGACTGGGGGGGGGGGGAGTCTAGCCTGAGGGCATTAGGGAGGGCTTTCTGGTAGAGGGGATTCTGAGAACTGAAGGGTGCCTAGGTATTAGGATAGGAATTGGAAAGGAATGAGTTATGTTTCACACAAGGGGAACAATTTGGGCAAATGTTTGTGTGCAAGAGAAGTTTGTGTGCAAGTCAGTTGGTGGAGAATCGAGGTCATCAGGGCCAGCTGTGTAGGTTAGAGAAGGCCTAAGGGCAGTAGGGAGCCATGGATAGCTTTGAATGGGAGTGAGGACTGGGGAGATTAGTTCTTCCTAGGACTTCCTAAACTGTGTGGTGGTGGGTGGGAGTCCAGATAGGAAGAAGAAAACTAGAACAGGGTCCCTAGTGGGAGAGGACAGGTCTGGCTCAGGGCCAGAAAGAGGCTCAGTGACCAAGGGCGGTCGGGGCTAGAGTGGGAAGAGGAGGGAGGCGCAGGGCTCAAGAGGAGGTGGTGGGCTGTCTGTGAGAAGGACCTGGAGGAGGGTGGCCCTCATTGACTCATTCTCCATGCCTTCGTTCATATTAAAAAACAAAACGAAAAGCCTGGGTTTCATTGTGTGCTAGGCAGCACCGTAGGCTGGGAGGGGGCACATCAGATAATGTAGCTAACAGGTACCCCATGCTCTACCAAGCTGTGGATGAGATCAGAGAGAGCAGCAGGTAGGCGTGAGACATTTGAAACCTGGAGGAGTCACAGGGCTAAGGAACTCAACCCTAGCCGGCGAGCAGCTGGTACAAAAGCCCTGGGACAGGTCTGAGCCCCGGGGAGTAGCAGGAAGGCCCCCAGTGTGGGTTCTGTGGTGGTGGGGAAGCGTTTGGCTCTTCCAGGTGGTGTTACTCACAGGAGGGCTTTGGAGCAGAGCAAAATGGCAGGGTTTGACGGAAGAGGCTGTGACCAGTGTCTAAAGCTCTGGAGAGAAGCCTGAGTTGGGGTGCAGGGAGAATGTAGATGAACTGTGGGACTCTAGCTGTTGGACAGGAGCTCTAACAGTCTGTTTCCCTGGATATTTGCTCTAGGAGATTGAGGAGGACCGGAAGAAAGCTGAACTGGAGGGGGTTGCAGTGACAGCCCCCCGGAAGAGCCGTTCCATGGAGAAGGAGACTGTGGCAGTGGAGGTGGAAAGCCCAGCATGTCTGAATTCTCAAGATACTGAGGGGGTAGAGGGCTGAGGCCTGGGACCCAAACCTGTCAGCTGCCTCTTAGCCTAGGATGCCCCACTCTGCCTCGACTTTGATTGATTTCTCCTTCCTCCCCCTTTCAGGAGAAGAGCCTCGGTCCCTCTCGGAGGACTGCTGGGACCTCCCGGCCCCCAGGGACCAGCAGGGGGGGCCGGACCCACCCCCAGCAGGGAGGCCGGGCAGGCATAGGCCGGACATCCCGAGGCCAGGAGGATGGTGCCGGGGAGCAGCTTCGAGGGGGAACTGGGGGCCGGGGCCGGAGGGGCCGGGGCCAGGGATCCCCTCATCTCTTAGGGGCAGGAGACAACTCAACTTCTTATCGCAAGTCCAAGGTAGGCACCGAGATTTTCGTTTTCCTGGTTTTCACTCATTCCATCTATCCATCTATCTATCTATCCATCCATCCATCCATCCATCCATTAATTTTTCTGGCCTTGGATTAAACCTGTAGCCTTAGATGAGTGCTTTATCATTGAACTACACCCTCAGCTTTACCATTGAACTACATCACCAGCCCTCAGCTTTACCATTGAACTACATCCGCAGCCCTCAGCTTTACCATTGAGCTACATCCCCAGCCCTCAGCTTTACCATTGAACTACATCCCTGCCCTCAGCTTTACCATTGAGCTACATCCCCAGCCCTCAGCTTTTATTTGGAAACAGGATCTCATCTCATCTCATCTCATTAGGTTGCTCAGGCTGGCCCTGAACTTGGTGTCCTGCTCAGCCTCCTCGGTGGCTGGGAAAACAGGTCTGCCCTGCTGTGTCTAGCTAGTTCATTTCTTTTCCTTTGCCTTTTCTCTATTGCTTGGATGGGCTCCTCCCTAATCTTCTGTCTTTGTGTCTCTATCCCCTCCAGCTATCCCTCTCAGGGCGTCTCTTCTTCCACTCCTGACCAGTGCTCTGCGTCTTCTTAGGTTCCAATTCCGACTTCCTGCTCTTACCTGTTTCGTGTGCAGCATCTGCTTTGTGCTCACGCTGTCTGTGTGCTCAGATCCATGTTGGGAGTAGTGGCCTCCTTGTGACTGCTCTACTCCCCATCGGGCAAGGGCTTGGGCGATGGCTCACAGTTTTGGATGGACTTGGGTCCAAGCCGGTTCTGTGACTCTCTGCTGTGGCGAGGTTGCTTTCTTTCTGGGCATTAAGATTCTTGCTTTTATAGGAAAAGCTGATTAGACCCAAACAGCGTTGTTATAAACATTCTCTGCTGTCAGGCATTGTGCCTCAGGGCAGGCACTTGGCAAATGCCAGAAATGGGTGGTTCGGGTTTGCTGGTTCGGGTTTGCTGAGCTGCTGGAATGGGGCCTGCAAGTCCAAGAGAGAACTTGGTCACTACAGTGCTTGAGGCCGGAGTTCGGTCCCCAGAGCCCACAGAAAAGAGATGAGTGTGGTAGTTGAGACTTGAAATCTGTACCCTAGAGGTGGGAGTGGAGACAGGGGGACCTTAGGCGCCATGGTCAGCCATCCTAGCCTACATGGCGAGCTCCATGCCAGTGAGAGGCTCTGTTTGAAGAAGGGCAGATGGGCCTGGTGTGGTGTACACCCTTCATTCTAGCAGAGGAAGGCAAGCAGATGTCTGCTGGTGAGTTTCAGGCCTGCTGAAGCTACGGAGAAGAAAAATGAGGAAAGCACTCAGAGTTGTCCCTCTGGCCTCCACACACACACATGAACATGCGTGTGTACCCATAGACACACGCTTGGACCCCAGATTCGATGACCTCAATAAAGTCAGGGTTTGGTTCTCTCATGTGTTCAGCCAGTAAGTAGTGTGGATCAGGAGGCCAAGGCCTGCTCACCCCTAGGATTGTTCAAAAGGTGGACCCTGGGACACTGACAAAGTCAAGAAAACACATTTCCTTATCTTTTTGTTGGGAAGAATTAGTCATGCCCTAGCAGTGCAGGCTGGGGAGGAGCACCCTGTCCAGTGGGTGCTGTTGTAATCTCTCCTTAGTGCTACAGGTAGTTCAGTTGGCAAGTCGCACCTTGATGCACTATTTCTGTGGTGGCTGTGGTACATCAGGGTCCCCAGCATCTGAGTGAGTTCAGGCCAGTTGCGCCTCATGACCTTCCCATCCGTGGAGAATTTGGGCTCCGAGTGTCTTGTGCATAGCCGGTTGTGTAGTTCTTTCTGACAGCCGCATGTTGTCTTGTCCCCCAGGAGTGGGAGGAGCGGCGGAGACAGAACATCGAGAAGATGAATGAGGAGATGGAGAAGATCGCAGAGTATGAGCGCAACCAGCGGGTCAGCACCGGGCGCCTGGGGGGCTGAGTGGCAGGCACCCCAGTGCCTCCCAGCCTGCCCACCTGCCAGCCCTTCTGCTGCAGGAAGGGGTGCTGGAGCCCAACCCAGTGCGAAACTTCCTGGATGACCCCCGACGCCGGAGCGGACCCCTGGAGGAGCCTGAGAGGGACCGCAGGGAGGGCAGCCGCCGGCATGGTCGCAACTGGGGAGGTTCCGACTTTGAGCGGGTGCGTTCTGGTTTGGAACATGAACGCCAGGTGGGTGCTGGATCTCCCTGTGGCCGGTCGGGCTTCTCAAGAGCTGTGCTTTGGGCTGGCACGATGGACAGACCAGGTGTTACTCTCTTAACATGGGGTTTGATGGGTGGGGGCTCAGGCTTGTTTGGAATGACCGCCATGCTTGGCCAAGGTTTTTGCTTTTGAAGTAGGGTCTCACTCTCTAGCCCCGGTGATTTGGAACTCAAGGCCAGTCCATTTTACTTGGAGCTCCAGCTTTAAGCGTAGCATAGAGATCGCCTGCCTCTCCCCTGAGTGCTGGGCCTAAAGCCGTGCATGCTGTGCCTGCCGCCAGTGTTTTCTTTGTTAAGGATTCATTCAGACTTTTTTTCCTTTTTCTTTTTGCCTTGCTGGTGTACAACCCAGGGTCTTACACATGCTGTTCAAACTACCAGTAAGCTACACCCCTATGGAGGATTTTTAGTCAGTTGTTAGGCAGTCTTGGAAATCTTGCCAACTGAGCCATCTGAGATTTCTATGTCCTGGAACTCTTGATCCTCCTGTTTCAGCCTCCCCAGTGCTGGGATTACTGGCCAGGGAAAATAGTTCCTAGACAAAGTTGTAGTTTATCCCAATGGGAACCAAATGGGTAATTAAAGTCTAATTATAGGCTGGGTATTACAAAATGTCACTACCCCAAAAGGTGAGGAGGGGTCAGAGATGTTTCTTAAGAAAGATGAGGAAGCTGGGCTTGGCATTGCATGCCTTTAATCCCAGCACTCAGGGAGGCAGAGGCAGCTGAGTTCAAGGCAAGTGTAATCTACACAGCAGTGAAACCCTGTCTTGAAAAGCAAAACAAAAAGATGAGGAGAGAGCTGGAGAGCTGGTTCAGCGGTTAGGGTGCTGGGTGACACCAGGCACTCTAGTGCACACCTTTGACCCCAGCCCTGGGGAGGCAGAGGAGGGTGGATCTCTATGACTTCACGGCCAGCCTGGTCTACAGAGTGAGCTCTAGGATAGCCAGGGGTACACACAGAAACCCTATCTTGAAAAACAAAGGAACAGACAAACAGTGCCGAGTGGTCTTCCAGAGCACCCATGCAGGACAATCATGAGTGCTTGTAACTATCGCCAAAGCACCTGGCACCCTCTTCTGGCCTCTGTGGGTACCTGCACACACATGGCAAATATGCACAGACACATACTGTGGCAGGTACAGGAAAATCGTCAAAATAGATGTTTAGGAAAGGAGAGCTGGAGAGAGAGGCCAGTGCTTGCTGTCAGCATTAGGATCTGGTCCGAATCCCTAGCGCTCAGGTAGAAAAGGTTGAATGTGGCTCCAGGCATGCCTAGGGTTGGAGAAAGGAAGAGAGCTGGGACTTGCTGGCTGCTAGCCTAGGCCAGAGTTGCCAGGATCTGAGAGACCCTGCTTCAAGGGAGCAAGCTGGAGGTGACAGAGCAGGACACGCCTCTGTCTCTCACACGTGCATGTACAAACATCGCACAACACAAAGATGGGGAGGAAAGAATGGAACGTTTAATCTAGAAAGATGAGATCCAGCACTTGGCAGGTAGAGGCAGGCCAGTCTGATGTGGGCTTTTCCTCAACTGAGGTTCCCTCTTTCCAGACAACTCTAGCTTTTGTCAAGTTGACATAAAACTTGCCAGCACAAGGGGTTTAAGGCCATCCTTGGCTCTATAGTGAGTTTGAGGCAGCTACCCTGGCCTATATGAGACCCTGTGTGAAACCAGAAATAAATGAGGTGGATGCTCTCAGAGGAGGCTGCTTTAGCCACATACTCGCTTGCTGCCTGTCAACTTTATCCTGTGGTCCCTGAACAGTGGTTCTGTGTCTGGGGGGAGGGCCATGGAGGAGAGCCAGAGCCTGATTGCCTGTGGTGCCTGCAGGGCCGCAGGGCTGGCCTGGGCAGTGGGGGCGACATGACCATATCCATGACGGGCCGGGAGCGGTCAGAGTACCTGCGCTGGAAGCAGGAGAGGGAGAAGATCGACCAAGAGCGCCTGCAGAGACACCGCAAGCCCACCGGCCAGTGGCGGCGGGAGTGGGATGCCGAGAAGACCGACGGCATGTGAGTCAGTTGTCTTCCTGCGGGTTCTTGTCTCCAGCCATTTTCTTGTCCTCATGGTGATATTTGCTATAGCTTGCCATGTCTCCGTGGCATATGGAAGCCTGCCTTCTCCTCCCTTTGCTACTGGGGCTTGAACCTATGGCCTCTGGCATGCTGTAAGTGCTGCACTGCTGAGCTAGGCCCACACCCTCTTACTGGAGGATTCTAGACAGGTGCTCTACCAATGAGCCATCTCTATAGCCCCCATTCCCCACCTTTAAATATTTTAAAAATTTTATGTGTATGAATGTCTTATCTGCATGTGTGTTTGTTCACTTTGTGCATGTCTGGTGCCCATGGAGGCTACAGATCCCCTGAAAGGAGCTACAGAGGATTGTGAGCTACTTTGTAGACCCTGGGAGATGAACGTGGGTCCTTGGGAAGAGTAGCCAGAGCTGGCTGAACCAGGTCTTCTGTCCTTTCGCCTTTTTACTTCTTGAGACAGTGTGTTACCTAGGCTGGCTTTGATCTCAGTCTCCCTGCCTCAGCCCCTGTTGTTGTTTTTGCTTGTTCTGATTTTTGAGACAGGGTTCCTGTGTAGCCCTAGCTGTCCTGGACTCACAGAGATCAGCCTGCCTGGAATTAAAGGCGTGAGCTACCACAGCCGGCATATGTTTTTGCTGAGTGAGATAGAGCAGTGAGCACAGAAGCAGCTCACGGAGAAAGTCCACTGTGTGGTCTGGGGATTAGTGACAGTCACCTTTACCTGCTGAGCTTCCTTGCTGCCCAGCCGCAGCCTCAGTGCTGCGATTAGAGGGCAGTGCAGCTCAAGTGGGCATAGAATTCAACATCCTGCAGCCTTGGCCCAACAGAGTGCCCAGCTTATATATGAAAAGCTTTGTCCTGTGTTCACATACCTGCTGGGCTGTTGGCCCAGGTTAGCCCAAGACTGTGGGTCTCCCTGGCTCTGTACCTTCCTGTAAATGAGCATCACAGATGTTTGAGAAAGTGTAGCCAGCAAAGGTTAAGGGTTGGAAAAAACCTACAGCTGCTGACCCTAGGCTGTTCCTTCTCGGACTCTGAGCCTGCTTGTCTGTAGATTGAAGTGACAGAGTGATGATTTTTCTTACTTTGATTCTTTGAGACAAGGCCTCATGTAGCCAAAGTTGGCCTTGAATTTTCTATGGTGTCAAGGACAGCCCTTGTTTCTTCTGTCTGCACCTTGCAGTGCTAGGATCCTGTGCCTGGCCCACAGTTCTGTCCTTGCTCTGTTTGAGCACTCCCTGAATGTGTTCATTCTGGGAGACGGGCTGAGAGCAGCCACACTGAGAGACTTACCTGTCTTGGCATGGCAGACACACAGGGTGCAGAGGTCAGCGGGGAGGAGAGTGTCTCCAGCCTCTGTGTTTTTATTTCAGAAGCCACACCCTCTATCTTTATCTGGGTTTGTCACTAGGAAGCTAAGTCAGCTCTGATCCATCATTCCATCTTGACCCCATTCTGACCAGCTCCATGGTGCTGCCTCCGTCTCCCCTGTTTTCTCCGTCCTTTCCCTCGTTCCCTCAGCTATTACTCACTCTGTTCTCTTGCTAGGTTCAAGGATGGCCCAGCTTCTACCCAGGAACTGTCCCACCGTTACAGTGAGTACTATCTTGGAAAGGGTTAGGCAGTGGGTTCAAATGTGGTATGTGCGGTGTCCCCCTCCCCTAAATCCTTGGATCTGGGTTTCTGTTGTAGATGACCAAGCTTGGGCCAGGCCCCCTAAGCCCCCCACTTTTGGAGAGTTCCTCTCTGAGCACAAAGCAGAAATCAACAGTCGCAGGAGGAGAAAGAACAGCCGACCCCAGGCCAAGGTGGCCCCTCATGCCTATAGGTGGGGTGCCCCTCCCTTGGAACATTCCCTTCTTCAGAGGGTTTGGGTGTGTGGAGTCCTTCTCTTTGGCATAAGTTTGAAGGCACGCTGATATGTCTTGGTGCTGTTTATGTCTGCTATCCCCTTTGCCCTCAGTGCAGCATGCCAGATGCTCTCTGAGGAGAAGTCCATCCCATCCTTCACCCAGGCCTTACCCTGTGCTCTCTCTACTCCAGTGACCATGATAATCGCTGGGAGACAAAAGAGGAAGCTTCATCCTCAGCCCCTGAGTCCTCTCAGTCCATATCGTTGGAGGAGACAGCCTCGAAGGTAAGGCAGAGCAGGTGTGTGGTTTTGTGTGTGTGTGTCAGATTCCAAGCCTTTCCCTGATCTGCCTCTCTTCCCAGCAGCTTCCTGAGACCCCAGCCCCAGTCCATCGGCCTCCTGAGGAGGATGGGGAGGAAGATGAGGGGGAGAAGGAGGAGGGAGAAGAAGAGGGGGAAGATGAGGAGGAGGATGACGAATGGGAGGATGTGAGTGAAGATGTCACTGAGGAGGAAGAGGAGTCTGAGGAGGAAGAGGGTCCCAAGGACCAGGAAGCAGCAGCTGTTCCTGATCACCAGTCTGAGGCTGAGCCTGAGGAGAAGCCTACTTGTGAGCAGGCGGACCCTGTGCCTGCCAGGCCCCAGGAGTCGCTGTCCCCAGCCCCTGTTGAACCTCCCAGCCCCTTCTCACCCTCTGGGGACCATCAGCCTGTGTCCGACTGGGGTGAGGAGATGGAACTGAATTCTCCCAGCATTGTCCACTCGCCTGGTGCCCACTCTTTGGGTGAGGCCTGGCCTTTTGGGAATGCTTGAAACTGGCTGAGTGCGTTGTGTGTGTGTGTGTGTGTGTAAGGGTGTGGCTGTGCCCACACCTCCCTCTCAACCCCTGTTGCAGGGAAGGGCAGTTGGTGCTTACTCCATGCCCTCAGCCCAATTTCCAGAGCCTGCTCTTGCTGGTTCAGAGCCTCTCGCCAATAAAAAGTTCACTTCCTTAATGACACCCACCCCACTGTGTCCTTGAGCCCCCTGGCTCCCCCAGATGGGGAGATGTTTGGAAAAGGAGGGGCTTGACTGAGCCTCCCCTTCTCCAGGAGGTGACCAGCCAGTCCTTGCCTCCTTGGAGAGTGGGCCCAGCTTGGCAGAAACCCCGAAGTCTGAAGAAGAGGGGCCCGAGGCATCTCCAGGTGGGGTGCATGGGATGGTGGAGGTGGGTGGCCTGCTTGCCTTCCCCGGGGAGGGATGGGGACAGAAACTGGGTGGGGCATGTGGGTGGGTAGGGGGCACAGGGCATGAGGTTATCAGGTGCTGTGCTCGGTGGGCCAGGAGTCAGGCCTTTTGGTGCAAGGGGTGAGCTCTAAGGCTGAAGGTAATAGGAGTCATAACGCTGGACCAGGGCTGGGATTCGGAATCCGAGTGTTCATGGCGGGAAGAGGCTGAAGCAGTAGGATCTTGAGTTTGACTCAATTCTGGTTAGGGACCCGGTAAAAGCAAACATGGTTACAAGGTCAGGACTGATGAATGAATGGAGCCAGCTGTCAGGCTCACCCGAGGGCAGGCCTAGCATTGTAGGGCAGGCCGGAATGGAATTTTGGGTCCAGAGTAGAAGAGGCCGGTCTTCTCAGCTGCCTGCCTTCCTTTTTCACTTCCCCAGAGCGTGGCAGCGGCTGCCAAATGAGTGGTGTGGGTGGAGACTGAGGGGCCGGGCCAGACAGGACAGTTTGGGGTCCTGGAGGGTTGATGGTGGTCTTATTACACCGGCACTTCCCAGTAGGCTAGATTGGAAGGGGCACTGCTTCAAGAGCCTCCTGAGGGTTGAGTCAGGCCAAGCTGCAGCAGGTTTGACTAGGGTGTGGGACAGGGCGGGTCGGGAGGCTGCTCTTCCATTTACATTCATTCATTCATTTATTCATTTATTTATTCATTTAGTCTCCTCAGAGGTGGGCCCCGAGAGCCAGGAGACGGCGGAGATCACAGACTTCCAGAGGGTGCGTTTCTGCAAGGTGGTGGCGGCCGCTCCGCCGCCGGGGGCTGCCCGCTGACAGCGCCAGCTGACCGACCGGGGCCTTGCGCTCTACACTAACCTTCAGCCGCCTCGCTCTTCTGCTTCTGTCACACTCTGGCCAGGACAGGGTTACACGTAGTGGGGGAGGGGACAGATTAGCGACAGGCTCAGGGGAGTCTTCTAAATTCCCAGAAGACTGGTCTAGGAAACCCCAAGAGGGCTGTAGCGGTCTGCCTGAGGCCTCTGAGGCAGGCCCTGCAAGGCCCGGCTGTGCAGGAGCCTGCCCAAGGCTCTCTCGAGGACTTGAATTAAACGCGTGTTCCCGCCAACCTTTGAACTGTGCTGCTGCGGGACTGGCTGGGCTGCTGTGCTTGGCGGACTTTGCTGTGGCGGAAGAGGCGGGACGCGGGTGTTCCTCGCCATCCTGACCCCTCCCCCTCCCACCCCGCAGGCCGTCCCGCTATCCTGAAGACGCTGCTGGGAGGGGCGGCAGCGCAGGCCTGCCTGCCTCCCGGGCTGCTGCTCTCCTCCCTGCAGCCCACCCTGAATCCTTCGCCTCCTGGGAACGGGAGAGGTGAAGGCTGGTGCGGAGTTCCTGGGGCAGGGGCCGGCGAGGGGAGGGGCGTGAGGCGGAGAGGGGCGGGGCCGGGCTCGGTGGGCAGGGCCGGCGCGCTAAAGTGCGGGGAGCCTGACCCCCGGGCCAAGGGTGGCTGGAGTGCGGAGCCGCAGTCCGTGGAGGAAGAAAGGGGTCGGACCAGCTCGCAGAGGCAAAAGGCGGTGGACAGGAGTCCGAGGCATAGAACCTGACCCAGTGAGGGCGGGAGGAGAGCAAGGGGTGTGGCTGCTGGGGGTGTGGCTAAGGCTTCTTGATGGTGGTTGGCCCGGGGCGAGCCTAGGATGCGGGGGTTTGGCGGGCGGTTGGGGTGGGGATGGGGCCGGTGACTTGGGGCCAGGAGGGACGGTCTGATGGAGGAGGCGTGGCTCCTGGGAGGAGCGTGGCTTGCGTGGCGGCCTAGGGCGGGGCCCGGCTCCGTGGGGCAGTCACGGGATGGGGGCGGGTCCGGCGCGGCGCAGAGGGCAGCGCGATGCGGGGCTCGAGCTGCGTGGGCGGCGGTGGCGAGAGTCCCGGAGCTGCCGGGCTGAGCGAGGGCCCCCGCGGCCGATGGCTGCGCCTTGCTCCGGTCTGCGCCTACTTCCTGTGCGTGTCCTTGGCCGCCGTGCTGCTCGCCGTGTACTACGGGCTCATTTGGGTCCCCACACGGCCGCCCGCGGGCCCCGCCGACCCTCTGCCCAGCGCGCCGGCCGCTCCGTGTGCGCGAGCGGCGCCGCCCGCCCCGCCTCCGGCCTTGTCCTGCCTGCTTGGGGCCTCGGGTGGGTCGCGACCACAGCCCGGACTGCCACGGAGCCGCCGCCACAGCCGCCACCCGGCTCCTGGGGCGACAGCGGAGACCGCGCGCCGGGCGCCCGGATAGGCTGACCCGCTCCCGCCGTGGCCTGCGGCCGTCTGTCCGCCCTTCTGTCCGCACCGGCGAGCCTCGCTCCGCGCGGCGCCTCTCCTCTGGCCGCGGTCCTGATCCTGCCCAACCTCACCCCACGCCGCTCCTCCCCGGGACTCCGCGCTCGTCTCCAGCCTCGGCTGCGCCCACCTGGTCTGTGGTCGTCCTCGGCGCGCTGCTGTCTTCCAACCCTGTGGCCGCCAGGCCTTAGAGGCTTTTCTCTTCAATTGCCCGCTTTGTAATCTTTGAGTTGGAGTGGGGAGAAGCGACCCGCCAGCTTTTCAGGGCCGTTGAAGGTCAGATACTGTAAAGGCCTTAGCAGTTTTCGGGGTGTCGTGGGCTCCCGGAATAGCGGCAGAGACAGTGGCGCGTGCTGGGAGCTGCCCGGGGTGTAGTTTACAGTCGCAGGGCCGAGTCTGTTGCTCATGCCCTTGCCAGTGATGCCGTAGCTTCTTTCCTGGGGACAGAGAGATGAACCCCAGGTTCAGGTGGTGACGGGACAAATTTGCTGTTTTGGGATGTGTAGAGTATAAAGTTGAATCAAAAAACAAAACTGGTCTGCGCTGCTGTTGGTGTCACGCTGAGAATGTGAAGCTTCTGGTAAAGTCATGCGATTGAGTCCATTTTCCCTTACCCGTGACTGCAGCCCGGGCAGGCCTGGGACACCTTGCTGCAAGAAGGGCTTTTCCCTGCGTGGCCTTCCTTCCCTCAGGCGGCACAACAGCAGGACCCCGAGGTCGGCCTCGGTCAGAAGGGAGTGTGGCATCTGTCCTGCTGGTTCCCGTCTGTCCCACCAGCATCCCCCACACGATGATGCCCAGCTGTGTACTGAAAACTCTCTGCTCTTGTAAAATAAAGATAGCCAAGTGCTGCTGAGAGAATTAAACCACCTCTACACCTGAGAACAGCGTTGCTCTGAGCACCCTGCCTCCACTTTATCCTTCAGCCCTTTCAGAATCACTGCTTGTACTCCTCCCTCATCCCCGCCCAGGGAGGGGGGAGGGTGGGGGAGGAAAGCGAGTCAGCCCAAAGCCCAGCACACCCGCAAGTAGTGAGTTGGGGGGAGGGGTCTTCTCCTTTTCTGCTTTCCTACTTTTTTTTTTTTTTCTTTCAGCCTCGTGGTCCGCAGCCTTTCTTCTTGTCTCCCTCCACTATCTTCTCTCTGCTTTTCCCTTTCTCTGTCTCTAGAGTATCTCCATATTGTCACTGTGCTTCTGTGTCTACCCACTTACATTGTCCCAGTGCTTTACCGCTGAGCCAGGGACCCACAACCCATAGATTTTGAGGCAAGGTCTCAGTACTACAGCTCTAGCTGTCTTTGTGTTCTCAGCACCCCCTTCCTCTGTCTCCTAAGTGCCGGCATTACATGTGTGTGCAGCTATGCAAAGTCCAGCTGCTAGGCTTTGAATTCTGACTAGCTTGACCACTTTAATCAGTTTTTTTTTTTTTGGGGGGGGGTGTATAGTTTTATCTCTCATGCTCACATGGTGACAAATCAACTCATAGCAAGCTATTTATATTTTTTATTTATCCCTTCCAGTGTGACTGTTCACACATTTACTGCAAAAAGACATGAGCACGTCTGATGGGGAAACAGTATATGCCCCAGGCCCCTGGGGGCTTGCATAATAGGTGCAGAATGGCCTTTCTAAAATTGCATCAGCCTTGAGTTCTGAAATGCATCTGTCCCTGAAGACCTCAGCTAAGGGACTATGGACCTGCAATTTGGCACACAATCAAACCTGGTTTTATCTTAATTACCGGCTCAACATTTATTTAATGGTTTTGTAAAAGGACTAATTTTACGGCACTTTTTTTTTTTTTTTTTTTTTTTTTTGGTCTCCTATAGCCCAAGCTGGTCTTGCATTTGCTACGTAGCAGAGGATGACAGTTGTGTTATGTTAACCTTTTCTGAGGGGACAGGAGCAAATGTCTGCTCACCTCAAGGGCACTGCATTCATTACAGGAGAGCATGGGTGACTCAAAGGCAGCTATAGCACTGAAAAGCCAGATCCGGCAGATGACTGACAGTTCATGGAGGCCATGGAGCTAACCTGAATGACCGATAGACTGCTGGGCAGATCAGAGCCTCTGCTCCTGTTACCACTCTGTCCGCTGCCCAATTCACATGCTGGCCAGACTCATTCAGATTCCCCAGAGCTTCTTGTGCCTTGAAGATCATGCCTCGGGCCTTAGCAAGGCCATTAAAATGTTGTGCCATCCAAGGTTTCTGTGGAAGCAACCTCCTGTTATTTGTTATCAGTCGTGTGTGTCCAGCATGCGGAGGTTAGAGGACAGCTTTCAGGTTAGAAGATAGCTTTCAGGGGTTGGTTTCCTCCTTACATCATACCCTGGCATTGAACTCAGGACCTCAGGTCCGTGCTACGGCCACCATTCCTCACTGAACCAGCTCAGCCGTCCTGGATCTGTATACAAGACATGACGACATGACCACTCCGTGGAATGGTTGAGGGGAAGGTTTTCATTTTAGATATGAGAGAGAGAAGAGCCAAAGACAGCTGGAAGGGCCCAGAGCAGAGAGCGACAGTGGTAGACCGAACAGATCCAGCTGGCTGGACTTGACCGTGAGAGAAGCAGAGAAGAGCGAGAGGTGAAGACGGTGTGTGGACAAAGGAGGGAGTGTAGCTGCAATGGCAGGGCTGTAAGAACGAGGAGCTGAGGGGAGGAAGCCCAGTGAACAGGGGAGTTGATGGCAGGGGACTCTGAAGAGTTTCACTGGCACTTTTCCCGCTGAGGTAGCCTGGAGGCCACCATATGCTTTGGTATGCTAATCGGTACCACAAGAAGCTGTTTGTCCCTTCTGCTAGTGATGAGGGAAAAGGCTCCCTTTGGTGGAGGAGTTCCTGAGGAATGCTGGCTCTTGTCTAACCACCGGAATTTGGAGAAGTATAGTTTCCTTTGGACCTGGCAGGATCATGTTTCTTAACTCTCAGAATGAGCAAAGTTCTGCTGGCCCGGTGAACTGAACATCAGACACTGCTTTTCTCAGCCTCTGCTCTCAGGAATGCCTATCCTTTCTTTGTCCCTGATACCCATGGGACATGTGTCCCTAGTGACCCATAGAAGCCGGCCTGTCAGGGACTGCTTTCCCTCAGATGGTCTTAACTTGTGCAGCCCTTGTCTTGAAGAGGGATGGGTAGCTCTTTCGCTCAGTTTTTCTGCCTCCAAGCAGCAGACTGAGCCCATATGCGCCCACGTCTCAGCCTCACAGGCCAGGCTGTGACAGGCTCTTCCACTGCTTGTTTAAAAGTCTTTGCCAATTTGAGCAGTTTGGGTGCTGAGTGTTCCCTGCCTGTCCCCTGTACTGTCCATTCTTGTGTGTTGGATCCTGTATTCCCTTTCTATTAAACATCAGACCCAAAGGCTGGTTCCTGTCACTCCTTCCTGTCCTCTTCTTCCTCATTCTTGATTCTTCCTGTGGGTTCCAGGTTTTACCATCTAACCTATCCACTCTTTCTTTTGGCTGTCCAGGCATGAAAATGGCAGCCTAGCCCTCCCATCTCATCCTCTCTCCCTCTCTTTTGAAAATCAGATTTACCCTGAGGTCTCAAAGGGTAGCCCACCCACCAAGTCCTAGGCTTCCATGGAGGATGCTGGTTGCATCCTCCATGCTGGTTCGTCCCCCTGAGCAGCCACTTGGGGCCCCGTCACACCTCTGTTACACACAGGAGGGGACACACAGTGGCCACAGTGGCCTGGGGACAAGGTTGGCCCATGAATGCTGCTCTGGGGAGCTGTAGTGTGTTCTGTGTTCCTTCAGCGGTGTTCAGTCACCCCACCCTCAAGCATCGGACACCACTCGCCCAGTCAGG